AAGGGTGAAGGGACACTGGGACAGGGTGTGATTGTGTGGGAAAGATGGAAAGGAAGTTCCATCCTTCAGCATCCCGCGACTTGCCCGCCCCACCTCACTGTAACACTGACCATTCATTGAGGGCGCGGGCAATTGATTCTCAGGGTCCGGAAGAAGTCTCTGAATTTCTGAAAGTTTCTGCTTTTGGAACTTGGAACATGCCACGGGTCAAAGTGGGCTGGCAGCCTGGCAGTCCCTCGGTCTTGTGCCCTGTGGCCCGCTGCCGTTGAATTGAATGGCTTGGTTGAAAACAGAAAGTGGTTTAAGTGATCAAGTAGAAAGTCGGATGTTGGATTGTTACCTAGCTAGTAGTTTGTGACTGGCAGACTGCCCTGTTGGACTGCCCTGTTGGTTGTTGTTTGCTTCCATGCTTGGGTCTTTGCCCCACCCGGGATCCATATCAGTTCCGTGTTATTAGTAGTGCTGCAGTGCAAGACTGCAAGCTAAACTAACCAGCCCTTGAAATAGAATTAATCTTACTCAGCACTGGCTGGACTGGGACTTTTTCACCACCACCACCCACCGGCCTATTTGCGTTAGTCAATTAATCACTGCCACTGACATCATCAGCACTCGGAAACAAATCGCAGTGTCTGCGGAAAGTTCGGGAACGTGCCTGTGCCTGCGCTGCCGGACTGGTACAGTACACAACCCATATGTGGTGTGCATGCAGTAATGAGTAATTTCTATATACATATGTACACATTCATGCTAAATATGAGTACTATATCTACTCATGCCCTGTTTGTTTTATTTGTTGCCGTTCTTCTGCATGCTGTATGCGCATCGGCATATATGTCCCCAGACGCATGTATATCCTCTTGTCATGCCAGGAATACCCATCCTCGGAAGATCGATCATGACAAAAATAGACACGTAACCTGTCATAGATAAAATAGCTGACATTTTCGAGCTTTCCGCTTCGTGTATAGACTTAATAGAGTTCTTCCTCCACTGGAAGTCAATGATACATGTACACGTGCCTATGCAGCTGGCTACTGGGACCCGAACCGACTTGTACGTTCAGCTACCAGATAATAAGGAGGAAAGACCTATCGGAAAACTGCTTAACAACTCGCAGGGTTTTCAGCTTCTCGTGCAAGATTCCAAGTTTCCTGGCGTAGCCATTTCAGTTGATGGAAAGGCGGAGCCAGGTGTCACGACCAGCAACCCCCAAGGCATCTGTTTAAAGTCCAGCTGAAGGTTTAGTCTCTGACGTTTCCACTGCCTGAAACCAGATGGGACATGGCTCTTAACTTGATGAGAGCACGAGGTAACTCCATCCCAAAAGACAAGACAATTCAATGAACACTCGACTTGTAGTGGTTGGTAGCTGTCATGGTCCCTAATGGCTGAACAACCGGGTAGGTCTATCTTAAGTCATATTATTGAGTTTAACCTATTCAAAAGGCCTGTGTGTGGCCAGTCAATGTCAGTGTGTGAATCTGCTTCATGACGTCTTCCACTTGATTTAATGAAACGGCCAGAGCGCCATCAATTTAAATGACACCCACATCCGCGCAATAGACTATCGTAGTATCGCAATGCTTGGTGATAAGCTGTCGGAAATAGTTGGCATGTTCGCTAGAGGTAAGCCACGCGGCTTGGCTGACAATTAGATCGGGAAGAATCATGGCTGAGGAGGATTCTATGGTATTGTCCCCCTTTGGATGAATCGTCATGACATTAGGTATGCTTCTCGATGATATGTTGACAATAGCAGGATGTACCAGCGCGAATACAAGGGCTGACATTGAAAAGAGATACTTCATTGATTCATCACATGAGATGTTGGACCTGTCAACAGGGAATTCGCAAGTATAATACCGGATTTTGAATGAAAGATCCGGATATCAATCGATGGATCATGGCATATTCTGCGATGTGGATAGGTTGCTTTGGAATAAGATAATATGCTTCGAAGGCGGGTTTAGTAGTGGCATAACACCGCAAGTATATAGGTTCAACGAAAGCAGGCAGACAAGCAGATTGACACTCGCAAACATCAATCTGGATCCTTAGAACTCTCCACACTATGGCTCTGGGACCCGAAATTCTTGATCGCAAACTCCGACTGGCCTTGGACCAGCGCCAGCGTGAGGGGAGGCTGATTCAACCAGCTTCCCCAAGCGAAGTGCAAGGCACCATCGACTTCGGATCCAACGATACCCTATCCTTGTCAGGTTCTGGTGCTCTGAGTCGAGCCTTTTTGCACCAGCTTGAGAAGCATCCAGATTTCACAGTCGGGAGCAGCAGCACCCGCATCTTCGAAGGTACCAGGCAGTATCTTGAAGATATTGAGCGTGACCTGGCTACATTCTACAAGGCTGAGAATGCAATGGTATTCGGCTCAGGATTTGACGCAAATGTGGCCATTTGGTCTGTGATCTCGCAGCCTGGGGACATCGTCATCTTCGATGAACTTATGCATGCCTGTGCCCGTCAGGGGATGAAGAATGGGCGCGCTAAGGCAGTGCCATTTGTGCACAACGACTGTGCCTCCATCCGGAGTTGTCTTGAGAACGCTCGAGAGCGGAACCACGGCATTGCAGAGGGCAAGCAAGTGGTGTTTATCTGCTTTGAATCAGTCTACAGCATGGATGGAGACGAGGCTCCCATCCACGAGATCATTCAAATAGCATCTGAATCACTTCCCCTGGGCAACTATGTGCTTGTTATCGACGAAGCCCATTCCAACGGACTCGTTGGGCCTAATGGATCAGGCTTGATTGCTCAATATGGCTTGGAAAAAGAGTTCACTATCAGGGTCCAGACTTGTGGTAAAGCCCTCGGGGCATCAGGAGGTAAGAGTCCTAGCTTCATCTGCAACGCGTCGGCTAATTATCTGAAGGTGTCGTTTTATGCAACAACACGATCAAGCAAACCATGCTGAATTATCCCGGCAATGTCCTATTCACAACAGCCCCTAGCTTTGTGACAGTTGCAGCTATAAGGGCTGCATATGAGCTGCTGGCAAGTAAGGACGGTGACAGGGTTAGTTAAGAGCCAGATCGATATATGGAACGAGAGAAGCTTACCACGATCACAGCGTCGAGCGCGACTGCAGCACAACATCAAGTTTACCTACTGGACCTTGACAAACCACCCACAGTGGGAAGAAGCTAAGGGCAGAGGCATCATTCGACTTCCAACCGAGACAGGCTGGCGCTCTAGGACATTCAGGCCCGCTATTTTCGCACTGCTAACACAGCCGGGCAAGGCGCGCAGCCTGGCGAAGCCCCTACAGCAGGCTAGATTCTGGGTCAACGCAGTCGATTTTCCGATTGTGCCGAGGAACCTGGAACGCGTGCGACTCATGATACATGCTGATAACACTGAGGAGCAAATCAGCGCCGTTGTGCAACTTATTATGAGGTGGGCGATGGGACAAATGGAGTCGGAGACGATGAACTTGGATAAGAGGCCACGACTATAGGTGATAGAAGTAGGTAGGCAGCTCAGACAGTTACAAGAATAAGTTATGGAACGCTAGATCCATGATGAGCAGGAGCATCTGAATAGTCCCGTGACCACGCCCGCGATATTACGAACAAACAGTACATTAGAATCCTCTTCAACCTCCCTGCAAATGCATTTCCTTGCAACGACGACATACCTCTGACCAAGACTAGCACATCTTCTAGCATCTAAACAAAGCAAGAAAGAAAGACTAGACTGTTAAGCGAGGTCTATAGAAATCCAGCATAGGATTGTGGTTGGGTGCAAGGACCGGCGATCATCGGAAGATGACTTCCATGACATCACTCGTTCTCTCCACCATTTCAGATTCAGCCCAGTGCCTATTGCTGCGTCGCAAACATGATCCACTTCTTGTGCCCCTCCCCTGTCTTTACAGCATCATCATGATGCAAGTTCACCTCACGTCAGGCCATTGTCTACGACATGTTGTGGTATAAACTGAGCTCGTTCCTGCCCAGCAATAGCCAAGCTTCTTCCCCAGATTCCTCACACATTCCGCCAAGACCAACCAGCCGCCCATCATGTCTCCCCATCAAACCCACCAGAAGAAGCACCACACTCCCCGACTACACCGGTAAGCCCATAACTTCATTACCACAAATACTCCAGTCCACCTTCTAAGCCCCTATGTCTTAGTGTCGGAAAATGGATGCCCTCCACCCTGGACGAGCATCACGAATGGGTCGGGGGCGTTATCGCCCACGTCGACCGCAACAAGCCTGAAGAGCTTCACCCAGTCCTGAAAGAATTCCAAGAACTTATCGAGTCCAACACGAGGGTCTACTTACTGATGGCCGCCATGTTCGGCGAAATCCCGCGCAACCGGACCTACGCGACGGACCCGACCGGTTGCCCACAG